AACGTCAAGCGTCATCTGCAGCATTGCTACGCTGCAGATCGAACCTCAAGGCTCCCGGGAGGCTGGGCCGCATCTCCCGTTCTTCATGCCATCCAGAGGTCCTCTCCATTCACCCAGGCTGCGATAGACTTTGTGTTTTATTTTTGGTGTCTTTCATTGTGTGAAGTAGCTTTACTGTTGATGAAATCAAACTTAGGCATCTTTCTTTTTTCCAGCTTCCAGGTTTTGTATCTTGCTCTCTTACCCTAGAATTATAAAAATTCTCTCATAAACATATACCTTTAATTTTTCCGTAAAATTTTTAAGGCATGATTTCTTTTGCTTTTCATTAAAGCAAAACTGTAAATGCATTTAAAATGTCCATGAGGGGCTGGGGAAATGGCTCAGCAGTCTCAGCCTGCCTGGAAAGCACAAGAGCACCAGTTAGATCCCTGGTACCACAGGCCGTGCTGGCCCCAGAACCAGGCACGCCTCAAATTCCAGTGCTGGGGAGGCTGAGACAGGAGGACCACTGCGAGGCTGAGCTGCGTAGTGAGACCCTGTGACAAGTACATAAATAAATAAATAAAAATGTCTATGAGGCAGAAGAAGCTTCACTGAGAAGCTACATCAGTAGATCCACTCTGTTCCTCTCTAGCCGCAGGCCTGCTTTCTCCCTCTGGTAATGTTGGACTTCAGACTCTGCCTCCCTTTGTGCTACCTCGCCCATCATCAACCATCTACTTTATAATCTCAGGAAGCGAGAAGACTCCAGAAGTCTTTGCTCCATAGATGATTCTGTTCTCTTTATAAACTAGGACACATCTTTAATTATTAAAATGTTACTTTATTGGAATCTCAGGAGGAAAAGGGATTAAACACATGTTTTTAGTGGCACATCTTGGAAGAGAAGCCTCCCATGCACTGCAACCAGGAGCCTGCCTTATAACTGGACACCTGTGGAGAGTGTCGTGGGCTGTGTGCCACCGCTGTGAAGTTCCTGCTGCTGCCCTTTCCTTCCAGTCTCTCTAGTTCATTCACACCAAGATGCTGACAGCAAAGTTTGTTTAAGCTGTGCTTCTCCAAAGCAGGTTAAAGTTTCACTGCAGCTCTTAAAACTTGAGTGGATCTTGTATTGTTCAACATTTTTTGCTCATCTGTCCACAAAAGAAATTCATAAAACTGTGTGTTTCTTTGCTGGTTTTTAAGTGAACATTTATAATTTTGTATTACTTTAAATTTCTTCAAAGGATGTAATTGGGGGGGGGGGCTAGGGAGATAGCTCTGCAGTCTAAGCGCCTGCCTGGCAAGCACAAGGACCTAGGTTCGATCCCTGGTACCACATGCCATGCTTACCCCCGGGACCCCTGGCTCACTGTGCCGGCCACCAAAACCAGGTGTGGTAGCACACTCCTGTAATCCTAGCCCTGGGGAGGCTGAGACAGGAGGATCCCTGAGTCTGAACGTGTAGCAAGACTCCATACCAGATAAATACAAGATTTTTTTTTAAAGGATGTGATTTTCAATGTAATACAATATTGTCGAGTTTGAAAAAAGTTACATGACTCTTAAACGTACTCATTAGAAGTGAAAGTAGCATACACTGGTGAAAATAAAAGAAAGCATTTCTTTCAAGGTTGGATAAAGGTTTAAGGAGATGTAAAACAAACCTCATCTAGGATATTGATGCCCTTTACTTGAAAATGCACTGTCGACCTATTAGAGGTAGGGTTGCAGTTGTCATATCCTTTTTTCTTGTGATTATTCAAGTTCTGCAGCTGAGAGCCAGACCAAGTCATTGGTGAAGGACAATACTAACCAGGCCCCTTCTCAGAAGGGAGAAAGTGAAGGGTCAGTGAACTGCAGTCCCAGTGGGTTTTGACTGTCTGCATTCAAAGATTAAATATGCCTAACCTGAGGTGGGCAGAGTGGTGTCCCACTGTGCCCTGCCATGCACTTGGGTTCTCTCTTCTGCTCTCTTCACTTTCTTTCTGGCTTCTATCAGAGGGATGATATCTGCAACAAGATCCCAGGAAGTAGGAAGCAAAATTCAGGAAATAAAAGCTGCCACCACTCCCATAGCTCCGTTCTACAATATATTTCTGTCTCAGTTACTTTTTCTCTCATTTTCTGGGACAAAATACCTGACACACAGAATTAAGGAAGGAAAGGTTTATTTAGCTCACAGTTAGTGGAGGTTTCAGTCTGTACTCGGCTGGTTCCGAGGCAGAGTGGCATGGCAGAGGGCAGCCAGCCATTCATGGTGATGGAAAACAGCAAAGAGCAAAAGAAGGAGCAGCAGCTGTAGCCGCTAACAAGCCTCTCTCCCCTCCTTACATTTGTAAGCAGATTATCTGCCCCAGCAGGGGTCTAGCACTCACATCCACAGTCCCAGTATTGGATCATGAATGAACCACAGACTCTAGAAGCTACCCCAGTGACTGCATGAGGCCCTCGCGGGACAACTAGACACAAACCATAACAATCTCTTTCTAATGCCATATTTCAACTAAATAATTATGGACAAAACTGGAGGGCCCCAGGCCTACCTGGCACTTTTCTAGGGAGACTGCATTGACCAAAAGATTTCAAATTGTCCCCTTACTTGACATGTTGAAGCATTTTACTTCCCAGAGCACTGCCCCTCAATAAAGTGAGGTAAGACATAAGCTTTTCTTTTTAAATAAGGAGTAGGCCAAAATCCTTCTCTCTGTAAGTTTTAGGAATGTGGAAAGAAAAAAAGGGTGTCAATCTGGAATTCATTCTTTTAACAAGATCAGTACAAAATGCCTTTTGAAAATGTCCAGGTTCCTTCAGGGATTCAGGTACCCAGCTGCGTCCTGAAGGTACAAGAAGGGCACACCTGCAGGCTGCAGAAGGAGTGCTGCTTGGGAAGGTGGCCTGCCACATATATCTGTCCACATCCTGAAAGCTGTAGCTTACTCGGAGCATACCACTCATCTTAATTGCAGCCAGTGGTTGTAGGGGCGTACTGTGCATCTCAGCCTAATCAGTGACTCAGCCAGCCACGCCAGGAGAATGCCTTTAATTTTCTCTTCCCTCCCAATAGGGTGATTTGCACTGTTCCCTGCTCTAGGCATACTCACAGGCATTCAATCCTGTCATTCCTTCTGGTCAGATTTTCATCCGAGGAGATCTCAGTGTCTTTCAGTAACACTGAGAAATGCTGGATGGACAGCAGCTTCCATTGTGATTCCCTACCCCACCAGGAAAATTTGTTTGCTAATAGCTTAAGTTAAAAAATTTAGATATTTCTATACCATATGCACTATGTATATGTGCTCTATCTACTATTATTTTCTCTTTTTTCTTCTCCAAATTCACCTTATTACTTCTACAAATGTACTGCAGAAGGGAAAGTACTATATCTCTGACCTTACTGAGCACCAGGCCACACCCTGGATCTTCTGGAAAGCATGAATAGGACACAGACCTAAGTGAAACTGTTTATTTGTCAACTTGAGACCAGTGGTCCAGGATGAAAAAGTGAGAGTGGGAAGGGGAGAGAGCTGATAGTAGGTGCTGTACTGTGTGGACAGCTGCAGCAGTGTGCAGTGATCCCTTGGTAGTCCCCAGGAGAAAACAGCCAGAGGATTTAGAAAGCAAAGACAAGAGCTAATAGCTCAGGTCAGGTGGTGGACCATGCATGATTGGCAAAGGACCCCTGAACCACAGGAGGGGTGTTTATTTATACCTTTGCAAAGTTTTAAGACACAAGGTTGCCTGGTGACAAATAGCCCACACTGACCAGGCAGGATGTTTTCCTCAAGACTGAGGTAGCTTGACTGCTTTAGGCAATGAGGCCTCATCCTGCCTCCCACATGTGATCACTTTCCAGCATTAGTGGCTCCCAACAGCAGTGGGTAACCAACCCTGCCCTCTGGTATCTCAGAATGCTCCACCTAGTGATGAAAAGGGGAGTCAGTTATCCATCCACTCTTAGCCAGCTTGGCTCACAGTCACTTGCACTGGCTTCTTTGAATTTCTGAGTCCCATCTGCTTACAGAACTTCCAAGGATCTCCTCATGCCAAGACAACAAAGAAGCTGTGGGTGGATCCAGAGGACAGGAGAGATGCAGGCCCAGTGAGGGCTGTCTAGTTCTTCCTGTGCTGACATGTACACTGGCCCAGCAGGCTGACCTGTTTGTCTGTGACTCCCACCAAATCTACACAGAGGCTGGTGGGCTGGCTGGAAAGGGCTGGTGCAGGGACTAAAATCTTCCCCACCCCACCCTTGGGTGCCATCATTTGTGTTCATCCAAAGTGCACTCAACCGTGTCCCTTCTGTGAAGATGGCAGGGAGGGTATGGTGGTACAGTTAAGGGTGGTCTAGAACCTCAGCATTCTCCAAAGTGTCCACTACATATGCAATAGATGCCCCCTCCTGTGGTGACCTATCAGTGACCTCAAAGGGGTAACAATGGCTATGAAAACAAAATTTAAAGCTCAGCATGTTGGTGCATGCAGTGTAGTAATAATCCAAGGCTATTCGAGAGGCTGAAGCAAGAGCGTTGCAAGTTTGAGGCCAATCTGGGCAACTTACTGAGACCTTGTCCCTAAATAAAAACAATGAAAAGGACTAGCTGTGTAGCACTGAGCTTCCCAAATTCAGACACCAGCATCAAACAAGGAGACAAACAAAAACTTGAGACCAGCACAGAAACAGGCAGCCCATAAAACTCACAGGCCACAGCCCAGGCCAAGCTAGAGGGCCCCTCCCCAGTGCCACTGTACCCAGAGCCTCCTTTGCTCCTTGGGTAGTGGTAAAGCAGGCTGGGCTTGCTGTGACTTGCCCAGGCCACACCCTCCAAGGTGACAGAGGACTCAGAGCAGAGAACTTCCTCAAACTATGACAGTATTCTCCCAGGCCCTGAAATCAACGGAAATATTTCTGAGTGAACTCAAATCCTCAAATCCAAAGTAAAGGGGAAGTAAGAAGGGAGAAATGCCACCTCTCTGCTGACTGACTGGTCATTACTCTGAAGACAGCAAGCAGAGAACATCCCCAAAGGGGAGCATCGGCCTCTGGTTTTTAACACAAAAGAAAAAAGAATTTTTCTTCAAGTAAGTACCTCTACTCTTACCTTACTATGGGATAACTTCATAGAACTAGTTACTAACAAAATAACTGCTTTCCTCCCTGCTTTGGTATTAGGGCTGAGCATACTAGGCAAACACGCTACCACTGAGCTATTTCCTCAGCCCCTTCAGACAGGGTTTCCTTAAGTTGTACTGGCTGTGCTCAAATTTGCCATCCTCCTGCCTCCATCTTCTGGGGAGCTGGGATTACCACTGTCCACCACCACACCCAGCAACTCCTCTATACCAACACACCATCCACCCACAGGGTATGTTTCTCCTCAGAGGAGTCCTCTGAGCTCTCTTATTCCCACAGGAGGCTACAACTGTCCCAATATTTGTAGAGAATTACCAGCAGAATCATGGCCCATTATTTTAAAATTTCCTAGATAGTAGCAAATATTTTTTGTAGACTGAGTTTGAGTTTTTGAAACCAATATAATTCCAGTGGCGAAGTCCTTCTGAGCTCTTCCTGGTTAAGATGGACTATGACTAAGCAAACCATCTATGCAGTGTGGCTGGCACCTGTCCTCTGGGGCAGCTCCCAGGGAGGACACCCATGCACCTGGTGAGTTCTGGGCTGGTGGCTGACTGATGGAAGGGGTGACAGTAGAGCATAGTATTCACTTTTATTTTTCAATACTGATATCTGTACTGGGGAAAAGAAGAGCCTCTTCACACTACACTAAACCGTAAGCTAAGCATGGTCTCGGTGTGTCTTTCCTTTCCTCTCTTTTTACTGATAAATTTCTTGTTTCTTTGACATCCTCTACCCCATTTAGTGCCCTCTCTTTGAGATGAGGTATTTAAGAAGCAAGACCTTGGTTTTCCCAGGTTATGTATGCCAAGAAAGCTTTCAAAACTACCTTGGGAAAATACACCCTTGCTGCTTGCTCTGTGTTGTCAGTGTGTCCGCAAGAGTGTCTGAGCTTTCCTGGGTAGGCCCACTGACATGGAGGACCCTCAGGGTCCCTACACTCTGTCTAAATTCACCATCACAGGTGACCATTTCATGGAAGAGCTGCAGTTGGTTCTCAAAAAAGCCGAGGTGACTGGGTACAGTCACATCCTTGCTTTTCCCTCTCATGCCCTGCTTTAGAAGTCATTTGAAGTAAGACCCTGACTCATTTTAGGTGACCAATGAGAGAGTTTTCCTGGGCTAGGCAGGCAGACCTTCCTTTTGGGCTAACATATTTCTTTTTCTTTTTTCAGATTGTAAAAATAAATCTACAACTTTTGGAGACCCAGGAATGCTCTCCACTCTCTCCTTGGCATGTTTTCTAACTAGCATCAGAGAATTTCCTAAGTGGAGCGATTTAATTTGTCTTCTGCTTCTGCCTTGAGTGTTTCACTGAGGCATCTCTGCTGCCTTGTTGGAGCTCCTTTCATGGTCCTAGGAGACACTGCAGCCCCATTTGGCTCTACATTATTGGTTTCCCTTTCCTGTCCTAAGCATCTGCCAATCATGGGTCACACACTGAGGCAGGGAACATCTGTCCTCACGTTCTTTCGGCTGCTGGTGCTGGCTGGCCTTTTGTGCTTCATTGCAGGTAAGTAACTTTCAGGAACCTTCCTGGGTCCTGGGTCTAAAAGCAAGGTGGTGCTGTTCTTTTCTGTGCTACCGCTAGTCACACTGTGAACCGGAAAGACCTGTGCTTGTGTGCCCAGCAGAGTTTAGAATTAATAACACTGTGGCCTAGAGGTTAAAGGACCCACCTTGGACTGACGGCAAGTCAGCCAGGTTCCCGGAAGAACACAGACCTTCATGGAAGGTGTAAGGTCAGTGAAACCGATTCTGAAGGCCAGTTTAGAGCTGTGGCCTTGCCTGTGCATGCTAGATGTTCTTTATGTGCCTTGTTGCGACAGAGATCTTCATTGGCCCTGTAGTCTGATGACCAAACTGCGTGTCTAGGATACAACTCAGCAAGGTGCTCTGCCTCTCTCATTGCACAGTGGTGTGTGTGTGGGGGAAGTACCTGAGAAACATATTTTTAATGTTAAGTCACTTAATATTTATTCTTATGTCTTAAAGAATGATACACATTGTCAACATCGGTGTCTAACATTAAGTGGTATTGGATTTAGCACAAATTTTTAGTTATTTTTTTAATTGACTACACAAGTATTTCTTGTGTGTCCAGCAGAGTGCTTTGACTTCTAACAGATTTTATTCCAGCTCAGGTGGTCTTAAAGGTGATGGATTTAGGGAAATGTCAAGAAAGGTAGGACTCACCCCATTGGTCAGATAAGATTTGCTTTCATTTTTTAAAATGTAAAAAAAAAAAATCTGCTCTCAATGCAGTTGTTTCTATCCTGGCTGCTCAAACATGAAGAGGGGGCCAGGGTGGTTTGTCAAGTTTCAAATAGCAGATTCTATTCTATTTTATTTTTTAAAAAATTTTATTGAGAAACAAATAGCAATAAGACAGTTTCAAAACATTACTAGCACAGCTTCAATAATTAATACGTTGCATATTGTTGTCTTAGTGGTTATTCATTGTATAAGATGTAGACATGATAGCCTGTCCACAAATACTATTAGAACAAATCTCTCTATTCATTGAATTAAGAGAATGCAGCTGTATATCTATCCTATTTTGAGTATACAGATACAAAATGGTCTTTCATTTGTATCCCTTTTGTTTAGTTTTGTCAGAGAAGGGCATTCCATTGTCCTTTAAATACTGTAGGTGCATGAATTCAGCAAAATATTCCAATATAGTCCAGCAGTCCATAATAGTAGTGGGTTTTCCATAAGACTGGCAATGTGAGAAGTTGTTGACTTTAGCCTTTTACAGCTCAGCATATTAATATGGCTTTACTTTTTATACTTTGTTTTTATACTTTCTGCTGGATGGTTAAGACCAAGGTAAAGCAGGACCTATATAATAAGAAATGTAACTTTTGTAAGCAGATCCTATTTTAAAGTTTCTCACTTCAAAACTGCCCAGATTTGTGAGGCAGGGAGATGAAGGGAAGAGCAGTGGGGGCAGAAACACGGAGATTGCCTGCAGTGATGGCCATTTTAAGTTTTTTGTTCTCACTGCGGAATTTAGGACCAGACTAAAGGAAGGCAACAGCACCAAAGGAACTTTGGAAGGCAGCTTTATTCCACTAGTGGGCTAGTGGGAATCTCAGTTCTAAATCATTAGCTCTGTCTTGAGGTTACTGATCCCTTATATAGGTTTTCACAAGGAAGTACAAAAAGGCAGATAACGTAATATTCTAGAATTGGTTACATATGTCTCTGTCATTTCCCAAATGAGTGGACTGTGGAGACTTAAATAAATGAGCCAAGTGGTATGGTTTTAGGGTTCTAGGAAGTTTCAAATCCTCTAATGGAATTTAAGATTCTCTGGGAGTGAAGGCAGTGAAGTTCTCTGGACAGCCCATGTTTATTTGGTTTTCAAACAAAGGAGGAAGGTATGAAGAAAACACAGGTATCTGAGCAGACTATAGCAGGACCTGTGGAGATAGTTTCCCAAGTAGTAAATTTTGTCAATCAGAAGAACTACCTTATTTCTAGGTTGACATTTACTGTAGGAATGTGGGTCCTGAAACTGCTGTCTCCTTTTAGTTATTTAGGGTTGGAGCCAGGTGACCTCAGCTGTGGCCTTATCTTGTCCTTGGGGCATCACAGCTTCACAGGCCTCAGCAGGGACCAGCAACTCTCACAGGTTCACTCACTGTGAGTCCACTATCCATCTCCAGGCAAGGGGCCTAGGCCTTGGACAACTCACAAGTACACATGGAAAGCCAGTTGGTTAATTTTAAATCCTACTCAGAGCCACTTTATACTGGACTCCATCATAAAAATACAATTATCTTCTGGGAAGTCTCTCAAAGTGAAGTGTTACAAGGAAACTGACCATTGAGTATAAACCCAGAAATGGGGGATGCTATAAAAGAGAAAAGAAAACATTAAAAACATTAAATGAAGATTTTATAACTATATTAGGAAAATTAGAGCCAGAGGTGAACCGAAGGAGATGATGTGGAGCTGGGAAGGTGCTAAGGAAAGCCTGGTGCCCTGCAGCTACAGCTGGGTCAACAGAGCACCCATGAGCTGCATAGTCCTGAACACCTACTTGTGCTGGGCAGGCCCCAGAAGCTGATCCCGGAATTCTTGCCCTCAAGAAGGTTTGCATAGCTCAGTTGGGAAAAGGGGCATTGTCCCACATAAAACAAGCAGAGGGCAATGATGTGTGAGGTCCTGGACTGTAAAAGCCAAGGATCTGGGGAAAGAGGGGCCAAGGTAGCAGAGCAGCCAGAGCTGGCTAGATGGAGGTAGGTGGGTGATGGACAGAGGTTTATGGGCTATGCTGCTGCCAGGACAAAAGCCTAAGGTGAAGAACACTGGTGGGAATGTTTATTCTTTTTTTTGATCATTGAATTCAACAAGCATTGAGCATGTCCTATGTGGAGGACATTTTTCTTGGTCTTGGGGACAAACTGTGAGCAAAATGGACATAGCTCTTGCTCTCATGGAATTTGTAGTCATTGGAGGAAGAAGAAAAGAAATCTAGTAATCACTGCAATGACTGTGACCAATACAGAGAGAAACCCTTTGAAGGCAAGGAACCGGCACTGCCAGAGGAGGCGCTGTCTTCTCCATGGGAGAATGGGGTAGGGGCTTGGAGGGAGGTGGCCTGGTGCCCCCAGGTATTACAGCTTTCTAAGAGTCTGAGTTGTGTTCAAGAGCCCTGAGAGGCCCTGGAAGAGCTCTAGGCAGGAGAGTGGGCTGGCCTATCCCCAAGCTGTGCATACTGTAACTGCATACCAATCACCTGGGAGTTTTGTAGAAATACAGTTTCTAGCACTGGGGATTTTTTCAAAGAAGTGAAACTATTTTGCATAATACTATAATGCTGGATATAAGTCATTATAAATTTTTCAAACTCATAGAACAGACACCACCAAGAGTGGCCCATGAATTCTGGGCTTTGGGTGATAATGATGTGTCAGCGCAGGCTCATCGACTGAGACAAGTCCTCCCACCTGTGCAGAATGTTGAAGGGAGCAGAGGCCATGAACCTCTGCAGACAGTGTCGGTAGGGATCCTTTCTACTTTCACCCACCTTTGATGGGAAACCGAAACTGCTCCAAAAAGTAAAGCCCACTTTTAAGGTTTTAAAAGTTTTAAATGTTCTTTCAGCTTAGGGTTGAGGCTGAGGTTCTGGATTTCTAATAACTCGGCCAACACTGTACTGGAGCCCACATCTGTAGTATGAGAAATGAATTTGTAAATTATGTTGAAAAAAAATCTTGGGGTTACCAAAGCATACACAGTGGTTTATGGGACAGCCACAGTGATTTTGCCAAACCTGTCAGAAGGTGGTTTTAGCAGCTGACAGTGTACAATAATGGCTTTGGTGTGTGTGTGAAGTGGAGTTGGGGGGAACTAGATGGATTGCGATAAGCGTAATTTGAAGTGCCAAGGACTTGGCAGATTAGCGTCTGGTATGAGTTAATTGTCCATGGCCTGTCAGAGGTGAAACTGGCATGCAGCATGGAGCCGAATTATAAAGGGCCTCGCTGAAGGGCAAGGTGTGAGCCACACAGGCCTTTTTCTCCCGCCCTGGTCAGGAAACCACACCATGGAAGCCATGTCCCTCTCGGCTCCTCCTCAGCCATTGATGCCCAGGGCAGTTGAATGTTTCTGCACAGAGAGGGACCCAGTCGGGCTCCCATCCATCTCCAGGCTACCCCCGGAGGTAGAAACATCTAACAGTGGACTCCAGAAACTGGTGGCTCTGTGGCAGAGGTGTAGCTAGGCAGCTATCAGAGAGCCCAGTGTGGGAAGCCTTTCCTCCAGAGCTGGGGTTCTTCAAGGTCAGCTCCAAGGCCTGCGGGAGTGGGCCAGGAGTGCAGGAAAAGCATCCATGTGGAAGCCTAGGCATAAGAGCACCCAGCAAGATAAAATCAGTGCCCCCTCTAACAGAATGCCCCATGTCTTCCACTCCTGTCAGAATGCTGTTGGCCAGCACACTCACAGGCTATGGTTTTGACCACCATAACCATACAAACAACTGTTCATGTCTCTGAGGACTTTTAGGATATAAATACAATTTAAAGAAAGGAGAAAGAAACAAAGGCAAGGAACAGATTTGGAGAGACATCAGAAGCAATGTACAAATCATGCTAGTCCTTAATCTGCCAGCTGCCAGCTGCACCCTGTCCTCCTTGTGCTGGTGGCACCCAGGCCATGATGCTATGCCACCTTTTTCAGTGGCCTCAAAAGAAACCTTGTACCTACTACTCCCTCCCCATGTCCCCTCCCCTCATCTCTTGGGAATCAGGAAGCTACTTTCCATCTCCGAATTTACATTTTTTTGTAAATAGCATCACACAACATATGGAGTTATAGCGTCCAGCTTCTTAACATTATGTGTTCACAGTTCATCCATGTTGTAGCTTATGAGGATTTTGTCTATCAGCACCCCATTCATTTCTATGGCCAACAATATTCTAACACAGCCTGAATTCTTGAGTCGTTCAGTGCTTGTCTAGAGCTAGAGGTCTTTATGCTTTGACCAATAGTCTCCTCTCTTGAGGGGATAACAGTCAGGATTCAAAGTATTCATGGCAGGAAGGTGGCAAAAGGACCGAGGAAGGCAAAAGCTGGGAGCTCACACTGCTGAGTGTCCTGAGCAGGCTGTGCAGGTGGTAGTGCCCATACACATGGGAGAGCTTGGTGGAGTCACCTTCCACTTCTGCCTCCTCTCCTCCCCTCCTCTCACAACCTCCGTCCCTGACTCTCACTAATCACAAGTGTCTCAGGCACCCCAGGCTATGGGTGAGTACTCATCTCAGACCATGGGTCCCACAGTTAACATGGTTCCTTCCTGGGTGTGGTTCAACAGCTCAGGCTACTGTGCCAAGGAAGAACAGCCCACTGAGACCTTCATAGTACTGCACTGAGAACGAAGCCCTGTGCAGCTGGTGCTCCATGCTTGCTGTGATAGGCAGGAGAAGTGGAGAAGGCACTGTGCCCTTTTTGCAGAAATGGTACCTGCAGCCCACAGAAATTGATCAGCTTGTTCAAGGTTATAACTTTAATTCACAGCAATGCAGTTAAACCTCCTCTCCCAATACATAGCCATGTATCCACGTGGTATTTACTGAGTACTCCTAGACCAGACTCTGCTCTAGACACTGTAAATGTGGCAAGGAATCAAAGAAGCAAATCCCTGCTCTCATGGCCCTGTAGGAAATTACATATCTATCTATACCTATATATCTATCTTATGTTTTATGAAGTTGCCACAACTGCTGAATCACTGAGTATTGAACCATTGTTCCTGCGGACCATGAAAATACTATGCTATGAGAATACTTAGAAGACCCAATGCTATTGTGGGCTGCTGGACTCTTTTAGAATACTTTGCTGAGTTTACACACCTATAATATTCAAATAATGGAACTTAGAAAAAAAAAAGGGATATACAGATGAATGTCCATTTTGTATCTGTGTATTCAAAGTGGTTAGGATAGATATATAGTTACATTCTCTTAATGAATGGAATGATTTGTTCTAATGGTGTTTGTAAATAGGATCTCAAGTCCGCATCTTGTACAGCAATTAACCACTAAGAAGAATATATGCAGTGTGTTAGTTATTGAAACTGTCCTACCTATTTGATTTGAAACTGTCTCATTGCTATCTGTTTATCAATAAAATTATGAAAAAAAAAAGAAAATACTTATGGTCCTAGATATAGATAGATAGATAGATAGATAGATAGATAGATAGATTGCTTAGGAGGAGCCCGAGGAGGACTTTCTGACCAGGGATATGGAACCAGCCCTCAGCAAGCTGTGAGGACATCTAGAGAAGGTACCACTGGCTCTAAGGTCCCAGGCACTGTGTGTTTTATATGCAGACTTCTGAATCCTCATGTGTGCTTTGTTTGGTGGTACTGCAACGCTTCTTTGTGAAATGGCTTGAAAACAACAGAAATTCTACAAGGTTCAGGCCGAGGTTTCAGGCACCTGCTTTCTCTTCAAAGTCACTGACGCAGACCAGAGCCCCCAGGGATGTCCGAACTGTTTTTCCATTACTCTGCATGTAGTGGGGTCCCCAAGACAGGAGCCAGGTTCCTGTGGGAATTTCCAAATTGCCCAAGAGATTTTTGGTTCCTCTTTTGAGTCTGGTTCTTCCTCAGCACCAATGTCTGGTGACAGGAGGAGCTCAGATGGGAATGTCGAGCAGCTCATTCATGGTGTGCCATGACCTTCAGAGAGACTCCCACGCTTCCCCTCAGAAGGCTGGGCAAAAACTCCTTGGGAAGTGTTATTGAAATTAGTTGGCTCCTTTACAGTTATGATTTCTGTTTTGCTCATGTTGTCACATCTCAAAATCAGATTGTCCTTCCTTGGGTGGGAGCAAGCACTGTGAGGAAAGAAACCTCTGCTGAGTGGACTGCTATGTGCCATGGTGTCTGCCTGGCCTACAGCAAGACTAGTTCTCTATAGCAAGTGGCCCTGGAGTAAGAGAAAAGGAAGCAGAAGCAGAAAGTGGGGCAGGCAGATGGGAAGAGAACTCTTACGGAAGACCTGCCCCGGACATTTCTATTTATATCACCAATTGAATTTAATTTCATAGTGATCTTGAGGGATAGGCATCGTACCTGTTTTACAGATGAGGAAACAAATTAATCAGCAAGTTGCTGGGCTGGGACTAGAGCCCAGTCAGCTAGATTACTTGGTACAGCTCGGTGTTTGTTTGTTTGTTTGTTTGTTTGTTTGTTTGTTTTTGCAGAACCGGGGATTGAACTCAGATCCTTGCGTTTGCCAGTCAAGTGCTTATCCTACTGAGCCATCTCCCTGGCCCCGGTATAGCTCGTTTTGCTTCCCTTGTGTCCCTAAGAGCAGCCAGGTTGCAAAGCTTGCCTTTTAGCTATTACAGTTTCACTCTAAAATATGCTGCCTTTGTGCTTATCTTTTCATTTATTCTCCCTTTTATTTATATCTCTTAAAGCAAGGACTGGTGGTGTTCAGTGTCCCTGCAAGAAGTGGTAACCAGGACCATGTTAGGCTAGCCCTCATTGCTGTGCAAATACAGTCCTAACACCCTTTTCTCAACACTATGGCAGAGCACTGCAATCTGACAGAGGCCTGAGACTTGCTGGTGGGGGAATGTGCTAGTGCCCCATGGTCCAGCAAGATCCACAGGCAAGGGAGGCACGACCTGACATCTCCAGGCAGTGGCAACTACTCAGGGGGGCTTGGGCCTCAGAGGGACAGAGGTTTTAGGCCCCACACAATGTGGGAAGAGTGTCCAGACCTTCAGAACCAAGAATTACAAGCACAGTCTTCTAAGGAATTGTGTGCTGCTAATCAGTGCTAGAAGCTAGCAAGGAGGCAGCATTTGGGTGCTGACATGTTGGTGTGTCCAAGGCTACTGATGAGAGCCTGGGTGGTCTATATAAAATGGAACACTCTTAGCAAATCCAAGCTTCTGGGTAACTGTATGGATTCAGAGAACCAACAGGTAAAAACAGGATAGAGGACCCATTTAGGATAGCTGAGAACCTTAGAAATGGTGCAGAGGCAACGCAAGTAGAGTTTCATCTCATTATTGAAATAGTTATATTCTATGAAGTTGCCACAACTGCTGAATCACTGAGTATTGAACCATTGCTCCCAGGGACCATGCAGATGGGCGCCTGTGAGCTCTGGGAGAAGCTAAGAGTTCATATCTCTGGTTTAGGTGATTCTGTTGACGGAAACCTTCAGCCACACTGCATAGTGTGGCTGTCTAGTCAACAACTCAAGACTGAAGGAAGTTTATCCAACACTTATTTTTCTCCATAGGGCACAGCACAGTCTTGCAAGATAGATCCATGGATAGCAAGGATTGATTAGGTTGCTGTTTAAAATATGACCCTGTTTTCTTCTTGCTGTCTCTTATTTCCCATTTCCATTCTTCCCCCAAAGGCACAACCTGCTGTTTCCAGCTTCCTGACCTTCTACCACTGCTCATCCAGGACCTTGACCAGAGCTGACTTCTTGGGCTGGCATTATGTTACATAAAATAAATAGGAAATAATAGGACTGAAGATTCCCTGTTTCAGAGATGGCTCCTATTGATCCTTATTCCTGCAGGCCATTAGAAAAGCCCTAAGAGGGCCGGGTAGAGAGCTCAGTAGAATAAGTGCTTGCCTGGCAAGCACAAGGGCCTGAGTTCAATCCCTGCTACCAAAAAAATAAAAGCCCTAAGAAAAAGTACAGGACAGGTTATATTATGTTTGATTCTTAAGTCTGATCTTAGTGATACACTGTAATGATTTTAAACTAATTTCATTTTATCCAACTTATTTACTTTTCTAAACAATACATTTTGAAAAATATTCAAAAGCATTGGTGACACAACATCTCTATAGAAAACAGTATGTCAATTCCTCTAGAAACTAAAAGGTAGAGCTGGGTAGGGCAGCCCATACCTGTGATCCCAGCCCTCTGGGAGGGAGCCTGAGGCAGGAGGATCACAAATTCAAGCCCAGCCTTGGTAACTTAGTGACTTAGTAAGAGCCTGTCTCAAAATTAAAAAAAAAAAGAAGGAAAAAAAAAAAAAAAAAAAGGAGGAGGAGGAGGACTGGAGATGCAGCACAGTGTGAAAGCCTTGGGTCCAGTTCCTGGTGTAGCAAACAAACAAACCAAACCAAACCTTAAAACTAGAACTGTCATCCGATCCAGCAAGCCCATGGCTCTGTATCTAGAGGAGCTGAATTCAGAATCTTGAAGAGATATTTGTTCATCTGTATTCACACCAAATAGCAAAGTCAGGAAAGAATTCAAATATACATCCACAGAGAAATGGAACAGCCCACATCCACAGAGAAATGGAACAGCCCAGAAAGATACTGCTCCTTGCCTTCATTGTGTCATTTCTTTCTTTCTTTTCTTAAAAGGGAAGGAAACCATATCACATGATAAAACATCATAAGTGAAATGAGCCAATCACAAAAAGATATTCTATGATACTATTTATAGGAGGTATCTAAAGTAGCCAAATTCATAGGAAAACAAAATACACCAGTCACCACCAGAGGCTGAGAGGAAGGAACAAAGGGCACTGCCCCGTTTGTTGCACAGAGTTTTGGATCTGCAAGACCTGGAAATCCATCTCCTAACACTCCTTGGCTACACACTTAAAATGGCCAAGATGGCAAATTTTATGGCATGTGGTTTGCTTAGCTGCACAAACAATGAAGGGGAAAGAAAATCAAGCTGGATTCTCCCATTACCTTACCTCCTAGGTACTACAGTGCTGTGGCTGCCTGTGCTTTTGGGAATCTATGTTTGATAAAAATGAGATCTTGTTCTATTTGCCTCTCCTCAGGCAGGCAGGTGACCAAGGGAGTGAGAGAAGTGGTGACGCTGTCCTGTGAGTACAACATTTCTGTGAATGAGCTGGACAGAGCTCGAGTCTACTGGCAAAAGGATAAGCAAATGGTGCTGAGTATCGTAGCTGGGACAGTAAAAGTGTGGGATGAGTACAAAAACCGGACCATCCTTGACATCCCTAATAAGCTTTCCCTGGTGATCCTGACCCTGCGCCTGTCAGACAGGGGCACCTACACCTGTGTCGTTCAGCAGCCTGAAAAAGGGATGTTCAAATTGCAACACCTGTCTTCAGTCACGCTCTCCCTCACAGGTGGGTGGGATTTTCTGGTTTACTCAAGGTTGCTACATTCTTAACACCTTTAGAAAACACTCTGTGGACTTAAGTAGAGCTGTACCTTGCTTCATTTCTTAGGGTTAAGTCTCCAGTTTTTCAGTAAACCGTAAGTGATTTCTTAAGGTGGAAATATTTGTTAATGTGCACTTCGTCAACTTTGAGAATGCAAGTTCATGACCATCATCCTGGCACTAAGTGACCTGGGATGCCTTCTGACTCACAAGAAGATCTTTGATTTGTTGTAGCTGTACTGTTAGCTGCACTTGAGCCCATGAAAGCATCTAGGAAGACTGAAGAGCAAGGCAGGCATACATATTTTTCAAGTAGTGTTTGAATATCTATAACTGTTCTACTATTATATTCTAATATTTGTGTGTGCATATTGCATATTTGTATGTACTTATTGCATGTTTAAAGTTCTCATCTAAAATCTCCTGCAAAATTAGCTGTTAGAGAATTGGAGGAATCATTCATACTTGCCAGAAGGAAAAAGATAAATTCCCAAATCACAGCCCTGCTTCTTCACTAGCCTAGCAGGGGACAGTCCTGGAGCTGACTGGTGAAGCCTGGAGCCCTTGCTCAGGAATGAGAGCTCAGGCCATTCTCTCACACTTAAAAGGCAATGTGTGTTGCTTCTTCCTGGGCACTTGCAGTTTTAGTGAAAACCAAACTTATGCTGAGTAAAACGTAATGATTCATCTTTGAAATAAATAATTTCAGCAGATTAGTGAATTCCCCACTCTGTCCCTGCTTCAGTTATTAGCAGTGAATCCTGTGGTCACAGATCACAGGAGAGCTTGGGGGTACACCACAGCTCCACGGAACTCTTACCCCTTGCTGTCTGTATTCTCTACTCATGGTTAAAACATATTTATTCTAGGATGGCATGACATAAGCTCTAAGAAGCTGTCCTTTTCCAAAACTTTGATCATGTCAGAAGAGCAAGATAAAGGTAGTTAAACTGGCCCAAGGTCACCAAGAATATCTGGGTTTGTGGCCTCTCTGAGCACCCAAACTTCTGAGTAGAAAGCTAAGTCCTAGGCACTTAAGTATGGAGGATCAAATCCCCACATTCACTCTGAGAGTAAAGATTTTAAGCCAATGAATAGGAAGAGGTTACAGGAGGTTTTCCTTGTTTTACAGGTTTTATCATTTCCCTCCTTTGGTTTATGGGTTTTTATATCTTATTGGGGGTCAAATACACACATGAAAGGGTGGCTCGGCTGTCTCAGAGAAATGCTAGCAAGTCCTGTTTGTTTACGCCACATCTGAGGAGCAAGCAGTAAAGATTAGCAGTCAAGATTATAGGCTCAGGATGGCACAGCTGGACAGGTTTATTTGGTAAAAGCAACTTTATAGGAAGCAAGGGGATGCTAAACATTTAGGGTACCAGTTATTGTAGGTCTAGGGAAACAGAAGGACAGGAGAGGTGAGACCCCAGGTAGATTCACAGAAGTTCCTGTCAGTGTTCTTCTCAAGTTGGAGGATGACTCCCAAAGTGCTTGCTAAAGTTTATCAAATAAATAGAGTACAAGAGAACCACTGGGCACTTGATAAAGCAGGAAAGAAGGAAGGAAGGAAGGAAGGAAGGAAGGAAGGAAGGAAGGAAGGAAGGAAGGAAGGAAGACAGAAAGGGAAGGAAGGAAGGAGGGAGGGAGGGAGAAAGGAAGAGAAGGCAGGCAGGAAGGAGGGAGAGAGGGAAGGATACATTCTCTAATGTCAAAAATCTCAAGAGCAAATCCCAGTTCTGCCATGTAACAGCTATGACTTCTAAACCTTAGATTATTTATAAAACAAATGGTTTTAGGTTAAATGCTATGGAATTACAGATATTCACCAGTTGCAGCAGCACACACTTATAATCCCAGTTACCAGGGAGGTTGAGGCAGGAAGATCAAAAATTCAAAACAAGCCTGGGAAGCTTAGACCCTGTTTCAAAATAAAACTGAAAAGGTTGGGTCTGTAGCTCAGTAGTAGAGTGCCCCTGGATTTAGTTTCTAGTACCAAAAACGAAGACTGTCAGAGTGGTCCTGAATTCCTGGATCCAGCGATCCTCCTACATCAGCCTATAGACATGGACCACCACACTCAGCTTTATATCTGACCTTTGTTGATCTAAATTCCACTTCATGGGGTTATTGTAAAGACAATAAGATAATGTTCAGACACAATTAAAAGAAGCCCATAAATATTTTTCTCTCCACCTCCTAAAATCACAAGTACTATGTCAATATTTATTCACACAAATCTACTTTTCCCTTTTCTAAGCACCTCCAATCTCAATAAAAAGTGGTGAAGAATCCATATGATCAATTCAAATCAAAACCTTTAAGGGGCTGGGAAAATAGTTCAATGGTCTAAGTGCCTGCCCGAAAAGCACAAAGACCCAGGTTCGATCCCCAGTACCACATGCTGTGCCAGCCCCTCACCAAGCCAGCTACCAGAATGAAACCAGGAGTGGTGGTGCATCCCTGTAATCCCAGCACTGGGGAGGCCAAGATAGGAGGATCACTACAAGTCTGAGCTGCATAGCAAGACCCTGTACCAGATAAATAAATAAAAACAAATCAAAAAGTTTTAAATTATATGTAACTATGAATAATTTATGGGAGTTGCAAATTAAACTCATTTTATTATTCTTATTCAAAACTAGCTAGTATATTAAAATATAAATCCTCTGGGCATGATGGCACATTGCTATAATCCCAGGATTGGGAGACTAAAGCAGGAGGATTGCTGTGAGTTTGAGTTCAGACTGAGTTACATAGGGAGGTCAAGGCCAGAGTGAACTGCATAGTAAGACCCTGTCTTGAAAAAACAAAATTGAAGGAATAAAATAAAATAAACAAGAAACAAGAATAATAAAAAATAATAAATAATGAACAAAATATAAACCCATACACACAGACTTATCACCAAATGTAATCATATGTCTTTTTTTCCTCTAGCTGACTTCCTTACTCCCAGTATAACTGACCTTGGAAATATATCCACGGACACTAAAAGGATACTATGCTCAACTTCGGGGGGTTTTCCTAAGCCTCACCTCTCTTGGTTGGAAGATGGAAAAGAGATAAACACTGACTACCCGGCAGTTTCACAGGATCCCCAGACAGAGTTGTTCACTGTCAGCAGTGAGCTGCACTTCAACATGACGAGCAACCACAGCTTCCAGTGCCTCGTCAAGTATGGAAACACAGAAGTGTCGGAGACATTCACCTGGCAGAAACGTAAGCAACACTGTCCCAGGGACCCACCCTGGAGAATCTGAAAAGAAAATTACTCAGTCAGATGCATCCTGAGATTGAATTTGCTGACTTTGATAGAAATTTTAGAGTCATTTTAGACTTTCAAAACGTGTTATCATGATTTACTAAGGTCAATGGACACAGTGTGATGTACAGTGAGACCCTGTCTCAAAAAAAAAAAAAAAAAAAAAATTTCCTCTTGAGCCAAGAGGAAAACTTAAAGAATTTTCTTTCCTCAAGAGGTAAAATTATCTGAATATAAAATA